TTACATCTTATCTACCTCCATATCATCAAGATTACATCTTGATTATCTACCTCCATATCATCAAGATTACATCTTGATTATCTACCTCCATATCATCAAGATTACATTTTGATTATCTACCTCCATATCCTCAAGATTACATCTTGATTATCTACCTCCATATCCCAAAGATTACATCTTATCTACCTCCATATCATCAAGATTACATCTTGATTATCTACCTCCATATCATCAAGATTACATCTTGATTATCTACCTCCATATCCTCAAGATTACATCTTGATTATCTACCTCCAGATCCCAAAGATTACATCTTGATTAGCTACCTCCATATCCTCAAGATTACATCTTGATTATCTACCTCCAGATCCCCAAGATTACATCTTGATTATCTACCTCCAGATCCACAAGATTACATCTTGATTATCTACCTCAAATCCCCAATATTACATCTTGATTATCTACCTCCATTTCCTCAAGATTACATCTTGATTATCTACCTCCATATCCTCAAGACTTAATATTGATTATCTACCTCCATATCCTCAAGATTACATCTTGATTATCTACCTCCATATCCTCAAGATTACATCTTGATTATATACCTACATATCCTCGATTACATCTTGGTTATCTACCTGCATATCCTCAAGATTACATCTTATCTACCTCCATATCCTCGATTACATTTTGATTATCTACCTCCATATCCTCAAGTTTACATCTTGATTATCTACCTCCATATCCTCGATTACATCTTGATTATCTACCTCCATATACTCAAGATTACATCTTAATTATCTACCTCCATATCCTCGATTACATCTTGATTAACTACCTCCATATACTCAAGATTACATCTTGATTATCTACCTCCATATCCTCGATTACATCTTATCTACCTCCATATCCCCAAGATTAGATCTTGATTGTCTACCTCCATATCCCCAAGATTACATCTTGATTATCTACCTCCATTACATCTTGATTATCTACCTCCATATCCCCAAGATTACATCTTGATTATCTACCTCCATTTCATCTTGATTATCTACCTCCATATCCTATATTACATTTTATCTACCTCCATATCCTCTATTACATCTTGATTATCTACCTCCATATACTCAAGATTACATCTTGATTATCTACCTCCATATCATCGATTACATCTTATCTACCTCCATATCCCCAAGATTAGATCTTGATTGTCTACCTCCATATCCCCAAGATTACATCTTGATTATCTACCTCCATTACATCTTGATTATCTACCTCCATATCCTATATTACATTTTATCTACCTCCATATCCTCTATTACATCTTGATTATCTACCTCCATATCCTCAAGTTACATCTTGATTATCTACCTCCATATCATCAAGATTTCATCTTATCTACCTCTATTTCATCTTGATTATCTACCTCCATATCCTATATTACATTTTATCTACCTCCATATCCTCTATTACATCTTGATTATCTACCTCCATATACTCAAGATTACATCTTGATTATCTACCTCCATATCATCGATTACATCTTATCTACCTCCATATCCCCAAGATTAGATCTTGATTGTCTACCTCCATATCCCCAAGATTACATCTTGATTATCTACCTCCATTACATCTTGATTATCTACCTCCATATCCTATATTACATTTTATCTACCTCCATATCCTCTATTACATCTTGATTATCTACCTCCATATCCTATATTACATTTTATCTACCTCCATATCCTCTATTACATCTTGATTATCTACCTCCATATCCTCAAGTTACATCTTGATTATCTACCTCCATATCCTCAAGATTACATCTTATCTACCTGCATATCTTCAAGATTACATTTTGATTATCTACCTCCATATCCTCAAGATTACATTTTGATTATCTACCTCCATATCCTCAAGATTACATCTTGATTATCTACTTCCAAATCCTCGATTACATCTTATCTACCTCCATATCCTCAAGATTACATCTGGATAATCTACCTCCATATCCTCAAGATTACATCTTGATTATCTACCTCTATATCCTCAAGATTACATCTTGATTATCTACCTCCATATCCTCAAGATTACATCTTGATTATCTATCTCCATATCCTCAAGATTACATCTTGATTATCTACCTCCATATCCTCAAGATTACATCTTGATTATCTACCTCCATATCCCCAAGATTACATCTTGATTATCTACCTCTATATCCTCAAGATTACATCTTGATTATCTACCTCCACATCCTCATGATTAAATCTTGATTATCTACCTCTATATCCTCATGCATTGATTTGAATTGTCGATGTTTGAGTGCCTTTGCTCTGATTATGTTAACCACGCTTACAACAGGTTCTATCACATGCTTTAAGTCAAGTGCAGCCTTACACATGCTTTCCTAATGCAACATGCAATGAAAGCTTGTGCTTGTAACTGTTTTTTTAAAGCTTAACTATACGCACATTTTTTCCAGTAAAACATCTGTTTTAATGCTGCCATTCTAATCCATGACAAGGGGTCATCCATAAATGACGTCACGCTTTTTTTACCTCCCCTTCCCATCCCCTCCCCTACAAAAAGCCAGACTCCCCCTCCCCCCACTAAAATGACAACACACCTCAGCCTACAATCCCCCTCAAAACTGCAGATGAATTTTTTTTAAACATCGATATTTGTTCAAAATAGAGTCTTTTAATCAATTCCCATTACAATTTATTAAAACAGTTTTTTAAAACGCGAAATAACGTCTAAAATTAGTTTTCTTACATTGCTTTTTTATAATGCAAAAGTGTGACGTCGCACCATCTGACCCCCCCCCCCCCATCATCACAAAATAACGGACCCCCCTTCCCCCTACGAGTGTGACGTCATTTATGGACGACCACCAAGCCACTTTTCTTAACACAATTTACAACACAATCAAACAAGTCCTAGCCAGTGTTTATAGCGTGGTGTCGTTTCAGATTGTCCTCCTTAAATACGACAATCGCTTCATGACACAGTTAACACGCTGTTATCTTACCAGTATTACCAAAGTAATATTTGTGTGTCCGTTCTTTATTAAACACGGGATTCAACACCAATGTTTTGCCTGTTTCGGAGGATTCTTGGCTTCATTTAATTGTGTCGTGGACATGAAGCAAATCTCATTTCAAGGCGGGGTTTTCTGAATGTCTGGCGAGCCGCACTTTGCCCACCCCCCCCCCCCCCCCCCCCCCCCCGAGCTATAGTATTTTAAATGGGATGAAATATGTAGACACTACATTTCTTAATGGTTAGGAAATAATTTCTCTTTGTATCTTCTCGATTAGCCCGAACAACCTTCTAAATTCTTCTCCTTCATTGATAACTGTAATGTTGGAAGGGATTTTATCCAACGCATGTCAACATGTTATATAATGTTACATATGGCCTGCACTTTTTTCTGGATTTGCTTCCATTGCCTTTGTCCATCCAAGAATAGTTACAAGCAAGCAGTGCATTGATTTTGGAGTTTTTTTCTCCTAGTTGACTTGCTGTCCCCAGCTATATAGCCTCAACTGCCTTGGAATAATCTAACATGTTAAGTATTTGAAAACAGTTCACAATCAACATGCTTTGATGATCTATTTAACTGCTATTTTTTAAAGTGAAATTATATGTTGAAAGCAAAAACAATCTTTAAATTCTAATAATAAATTTTAGAAAAAAATCAAGTTTTATGAAAATATTTTTTATTTTCAACATAATTAATAGCAACACAACTATTATTTCACTATTAAGAATCAGACTTAGTTATTCTTCAAGTAATACTTTATTTATAATACACCTGCATTATCACATACTTTAAAAAATTTCATTTGAATAAAAACTACATTAGATATACTCAACATATGAAAGGCTAGTAAGTTTCTGTCATGACCTTACAACCAGTTGAGTGACTGCCCAAACACAACTATGATCCAGCTTTAGTACTACTATCTTCTAAGAAATGAACATCAAGTTTTAAAATTTGAGGTGAAAAATCTAAAATGCAATGTCAAATATAAATCTGATTCTTTGATGCTGAAAAATTATTTACACTTGGGGTACTTGCAAAGGTATGGAAAATTTTTTCTTTTAAGAGAAAAAATAAATATCCTAAAAGTATAAGTAAAACTGACAATGGTTTAATACACTGTTACAAATTTTACCAGAAATGTCAACATTAGTATTTAGTGTTACTAATAACATTCATATTTTTAAAAAAATAACTCAATTTTTAATCATTCTAAAACATGCCAATGTGAATCAATATGATAAGAATGGTTTCTAAGAGTCAGCTAATGAAAGTAAGCACTTCGTTCCAAAACCTGTTGAGAATATAAATAATTATAAAGGGATGCTCAATCAGTTTGAGTACAGTAATTGCATTTTTAATATAGTGGTCCTGAAAATATTTTTAAGTTCTAACCAATTTAACTGGTGTGTAGCCATTCAAAAAGTTAATTAGACCTAAGTTGAAGCCTAAGTAATTATCAGACTTTTCCAAATCAAATGATATATATGAAAAAGTTTCACTAAATGTTATATAAGCCAACTCAGATTACTCAAAAGTTTGGGACTCAATCCTTGGGTCTTGAATGTTACCATAGTAAGTGTGTGCTATCAGTATTGTGTAATTTCATATTGTTTACTTAACTACATTTGTTAATTTTGAAAACAAAATATTAGGTAAGAAATAAAAATGTTAGTCATGATGTAACATATTAAGTTGTGGCCCTTTAAATTCACTGAGAAAAACATTCAAGGCAATTAAAGCCAATGACATAGAACATATATGGGATCAAGCTCATATTACGGCTGCGCATAGTGCTCACAGAGGTCATGGAAACAGGTGAACTCTACTTCATATGCACCATCAACCGTCAGATTCTAAAGGGAACATTACTTAAACATTCATTGTGTTATTATTAAAGAAAATTATATCAAACATAATTCAATTTCTCAACATGGTTAAAAGACTTACT